AGACTGAACTTTGAATATCCCTACAGATTACTTTGAAATTAATGGAAGCAGGCAAAGGGTGGACACACTAAATACTGAAAGAATTGATCATATATTCAGGTGTTGAGGCCTCTGGGTAATTATTAGAAGTATGTTTTTTTCTGACATTGAAAAATAAATAATTTAATGGCCATTTTTGTCTGAAAATTAAAAAAATGAACAGTAGTCGCTGATTTTTGCACAGTACTGTACTTTATCTGTTATAACAGAAAAAATGTTTGCCTACTATGCAAAAGTTAACCCCTTAAAATCCCAGGTTTTTACTACCGGCTTATTATTCAGTAACTATATAGATTACAATGCAAACAAAAAGTTATAGAAATATGTAATAGAAGTTTGGAGCTGCTGATGAATTCTAGCCATTTGAAGGGCTAAACTCCCTTGATTTGAAAGGACAAACTACAACTCAAACTGCTGATTTTCTCCCATGTTTTTATATGTACATCTTGATAGTGTTTGGATTGCTTTGATGACTAATAGTAACCTTGCCTGACAAGTTGAGCTCTAAACTGACGTTAACTTAAAAGTAAAACCTGTCACTCCACCTTCACACAAGGTCATTTCTCCACCAGTCAACAAATGGTCATGTCAGAGAGCTGACCTAAACCTGTTGTCTGTTAGGAACACACCACCTTAGATGCAGGTAAACTCCAATTTTCTAATGAAAACATGCATTTTAAAAACCACTCTTTTCTTGTTGTGTGCTGACATAGACTGTATGTAACAAGCTGTTGTTTAGAGCTTGTGTCTGCTAACTGGTAATACCTGACAAGGTGTGTACTGCAGTGCTCAAGGTAGAAAAGTAATGTACGTTACTGGTAGTGACATTCAGAGAATTTTGGTTACATAGTAACATGTCGTTGGTCTTCAGTGGTTGGTGTTAAAAGTTAAAAGTAGCTGTTCCATTGTCCTTATTTGACCCCCTTGATCCACATGTGGCATGCGGATTTTAATGTGCGCAGACTGGCTTAAACATCAGCGTCTAGAGGCAGTGGAGGGGTTTGTGAGAGGACTCTCAGAGCTGCTCTAAACACACGTCTTACGGGAGAGAGAGCACAGCTGTGAAGTCAGAGGTGTTTTACATGTTGGTGTATCCTGAGAGAAAGACTGGAATGCCTTGCTTAAGTGTCATTTAAAGAAACATAAGGTTGACTGAAAGAGTTATATTTTGCAGTTTATTTAAACAGAATATTGTGCACTTCATCATGTGAGTGGAGAGGTATTAAAGGGGAATTCCACTGATTTTTCAAAATTTCAGTCATTAAAATGTAAACAGTCATTCAGAATGGTTCGATGTGAAATGCTCCATTCTGGAGAAGCTTAACTAGTCAGAAGACTGCTGGAGACTTTTATGATAGTTTTGAGACGGTTTTGAAAATGTATTTTCGAAAGGCCATTCATGGCAGACAGTTACATATGCAGTGCATTGTAAGGCAGAATAGCACCCAATTTCTTCCAGATTTGCCACTGTTTTACCATTATCAACATTACATCTAAACTCAGAAGACACATGTAGGTTCACTGGTGGTTTTGGATAGTAAATGGAATGGCTATATTTGTGTTCTCCTGGGGCCGTGTTACAGAAACATCATATCTTTTTGTCTTAAGATCTGACAGGTCAAGATAAAATTTTTCACAAATTCGTATTACAGAAGCAAATCTTACCTTAATTTAAGAATCTTATCTTATCTTGCAGCATCTTTTCTTATCTCAAGTTAGGAAATCTTAACTCGATTGAAGTCGACAATCAACTGTCGTGTCTGTTAACTAGCAACTGACCATACGCGCACAGCTGAAATGTAAACACATCATCAGGTTAGTTAGCCAGACAGCTAACGTTAGCTGCAGTTACTGATGTAGAAGAAAAGGTCAAACAAAACTTAAGCACGATAAACTTAAAGTTACTAATGTTGTGACAGCGCCCCCTGCTGTTTATCAGAGTGTCGCCACTCTCCAGTTTGAGTTTCATTTCCTAAACGCTTTAGCCGAGCGCTAACATTATTCCTCTTAATAAACAGACTCGTTCAGCTCTGTCTTCTCATTATTCACCACCATCACTGAAATATTTTATCTGATGGGTTTTCATCAACAATAACACATGAAGGTAATAAGAGGGGACGGTGTAGATCGTGTCTGCAGTGCCTGGGGCTTTTAAATGCTATTAGAAAAAAACTCACAAGTCAAAGCACCGTTTTCAGTGTAGCAAAATGTAACGTCATTATGCTGGTTGTAATGAACTGTGCTGCCTATCACTGCATAAAACAATATAAACAGACGTTAAGATTTAAACAGAAGTTAAGACACCTCTGGGGTAGGGTTGGGCGATAAAACGATAACGATATTTATCGCGATATAACTTTTCCTCGACATGTTCGATAAATGTTCGATATAATACACTGTTCTCACACCTCCACGTTCTAGCGAAAGCCCTGGAGGCGTTTTCTACTGCAAGGAAAGCGACACTACTCTGCTGTCGCCAGGAGAGGGCGCACTTCCGAGTTTTACGACATAATTTAGAGAGGGAGGGAGCCACGAGTAAGATGAGTCTTTAGCAACGGCTGAAACACGGAGTTACACATTCCCTGTTTGAGTGGAGCGACCGGCAATCTGTTCTCCTGTGACCGAGTGTGAGTGACGACGTCAGTGGTGTAACTGTACTGTCCTACAGCGAACTCACCTCTTTCTGTACATGCTAACAACTTTAGCAGCGTTAAATCACAATCCACACAACTACAGCGCTGTTACAGCGCTCGGACAGTCATATTTTAGTATGAGTGCATTCCCAAGCAACAAAAGTGAAAGAAAGAAGTGGGTTCATGTGAGTTACAGCCCTGATTTAAAGGAAAGTAAACTGAGGACGCACCCCTTAAACTACTACTATTGAATAGAGAAATCCAGTCGTCGCTAGCTGGTGTCTGAATACTGTGATGTCATTTGTAACGGGGTAGCCGAGCGCTCGTCACCAGCTAAAAATAATCTGTTTTCTTTCTTAAATTATGACTACTACAAAAATAGCCATGCTTTTCCAGCTGGTAAAAACAGCTCTCCAGACACTTTCTCCCACTCTCCCATGACAGATTTGTGAAATGTTCCACTGTTTGGTGAGTGTTTGTCATGTTCTGACCATAAAGGAGTTTAAAACAGCAATTAACCACCCAGGAGCAAAAATCAGCCTTCAAACTTGAAAGAAATAATGATTTGACATTTATCGCGGTATGTATCGATATCGAACAATATGAATTTTGTTTATTGTGATAACATTTTTGGCCATATTGCCCAGCTCTACTCTGGGGTTGTCTTTAAAGTCAAGAACATATTTTGGATATTTTGGCAACTTAGGATGTTTCTGTAATACCGTTTTCTTATCTGGAAATAAGATTATAAACTTAAGAACTGTTGTTCTGTAATAGCTTCTGTCCTTACTTCAGTCTTAACTGAAGTTGCCAGGACAACAAAGCGGATAAGATATGATCTTAGACTTAAGAATTTTCTGTAATATGGCCCCTGGTCCTTATCGCCCCCAAAGAAATCAGAGTCAGTGATTTTCTCTACAATTTACCATTTCATATCAAACAAGGCAGAATGACTTTGTTTACATCTCAATGACTTACATTAAAATTTATTATATAAAATATGAAATTACACACACATATATATATATATATATATAATATATATATATATACATATATATGTATATATATATATATATATATATATATATATATATATATATAATTATAATTATGTATATAAAAATATAAAAATTTAGAACAGTCAGTCTCTTCCTCCACATCCAAATGACTCTGTACTTTATGTTGCTGCTTCACTGCTGAATTGCACTACTGATGGGTTTGTAGGTTTTAATCCATATCACTGCTGTCAGAACAAAACCTTTTTTGGCAGTTTCTTTTAGTCCATTCATCATTTGATTTACACACAAAGTAAAGGGAAACAGACATTCAAATTATGTCAGAAACTGAAAAATGGAGATAGAAGGTTTTGTTCCGACAGCAGCGATATGTATGTGTTGTCTGTAGTTTTTTTATATAAGGAGAAGCTTAAATGCTGAAGGGTTCCTAAATGGTATAGAACTGGTATAGAATTGTGTAGACCTGATTTAGAATGGAATAGAACTTGTACTTTATATGGATGTTCTTTAAGCTTACTAAAGACTCCTCACATTTTCACATTTCATTAAGAAAATTGGTTCATTAAACAATCATCCATTGAAAGGTTCCGTAGGGAATTAAAATGGTTCTTCTTTCACATGGCTACAAAGAACCCTTTTACAAAACCTGTTTACAAAATTGTACACTGAAGGAAATCCAATGTAATCTACTCTAAAGAGGGTGAATTTTTGCCTTGTAGAAGAAGAAACTCCAGCCAGAGCTCTTGTCCCTTTGGTGCTGTTTTTTGAAATCCAGTCCAGTGCTGTGATTGTCCACTCCACAGCTTGTCTCTCTCCCTCGTGCGTACTTGTAGAGTAAGAGCCCACATAGGGGATCCTTTGTTTAGGAGGGTCTAGGCATGGGCGATAATTCACGAGCCGCTAAGGTCCCCACGCGATTGGCTGCCTGGGCTGTGCGTGTGTGTGTGAGAGGCGTGTGTGGGGCGTCTGCGGCAGCGGCAGGCTGCGGCTGCTTCACTCCGTGCTGATCATGACAACCCAGGCTGCTCGCTCCTCATCCGCCACCTCAGCCAGTCTGATTCTTTCTGAAGCCGAGGGAGGCAAGATGGCTACCTTTTAGGATTATGCTGCCTAAAATTGAGGGTCTGCCTCTGAGGAGCGAGAAGGTACAGCCCTGCCTTTTTAATGGCCATTGTCTCAGCCCCAGACGCTCTGAATAGCGTGCTGTGGCCGCGGGGCTGGCGGTTTGCTTTGTGCGTCTGACTGTGTTTTGTTGTCATCACTGTGTTACTAACGCGTTTATGCCCTGTGTTTTGGTTCTCCTTTACAGGTGGGGTGCAAGAATCTTCCCAAACCACGGAAAAGGACCCGAGTCTCCAAGGTAACGGACAGCCGTTTTTTTTGTGCCTTTTTAACCAGTGGTCGGTGCCTGCGGCATTTGGGTCCTTTCTCTTTCTCTCTCTCTTTTTTGACCATTTACAGTAGGGTTTTGGCACCTGCTGCTCTTTTGATTGAGGAATGCAGCGTTTGTAATCAGCGTGGAGCGGAGTTTGGGGCTGGCCGGACAAGCGGGAGCGAGAGTGAGATATTCGTCTGCGCTATGTTTAGTCTGTTTTGTACTGGGTTAAGTGAAGTTGAGAGACAGGAAAGGAGTGTGTGTATGAATGAAGCCACTACTAGCAGCTTCAGAGAAACACTCACCAGGAAGGAAGCATACTTTTTTAGAAGTCACGTTACAGTGAAGGCTCAGTACTGTGAAATTGTGCATGCAAAGCAGTTCTGAATTACTCTTTGATGTGTTCAGAGAGCACTAAGGGAGCCTCTCTAGACTCGATTGTCAACTTGAGAGAAACGAAGAAAGGATTTCGGAGCGATTGGTACCTCAAACGCGTAAGAAAGTGTACATCTGCCAACTGCTTGTTGTCACTTTGATTCTCATGTGGTGTTTTGCGAAGCTGTTTCTACTGATGAAAAGGTGAAACGATCTAAAATAGCTTGTTTTAGATGCCTCTTTTTTCATTCTCCAATGGCTTATTATCTTGAACAGCCATATCTGTTCTGTGACTGAGAGAATTTCTCACTCTGTATAGTTAGTGAGATGCTCTGCTCCTCTGTGTTCGGGTTGGAAACTCCCCCTCTGCTCTAACTTTCCCTGGTAACGCTTCCTAAGGGAGGCTTCTTAGGATTCTGTAGGCAATACGCACTCTGTTGCTAGGGGTGTGTGTGTGGTGTCAGTGTGGGAATGGGGTGTGTGCGTGAGTGCTGGACAAAGTTGTTACCGTGCTGAAAAGGAGTCTAAGTCAAGTGTGACTTTCTGGGTTTTTAGGGCTCCAGACACAACAACTAAGCAACAAAGAAGCAGAGGCACTGCTGCCTGAGACCGATACGTGACGTGCTGAGAATGAGCAAATCGTCCGCTTGTGTGGCAAGTGATCTGAGCAAGCCCTCAGAACGTGCTGGTCTAGATGTCAGTGTAAACAAGAAAACTTGATAACAGGATAAAGTGAGTCAGATATTCCAATTTAGATTCTGCTCTGATGTGCACATGAGAACTGAAAGCATGAGGTCAGAAATGACTTCAGTCCCTTAGTAATAGTGTTTCAACATCTGAAAGTACAGACTCATTGTGCCATTCATGACCACTATGGGTGTGCAATATGATGTGAAATTTATTGTTATAAAATATGACAGATTTAGACCAATTATAGAGAGCCTGTAAACAACAACAACAACCAGTGTACAGTGACTGTACAAGCTGCATAGTAACAAGTAGCTGATTGGATGTCAGTCTACTATTCCTATATCTTATTTTACCAATTCTTCGATTTTTCCTTCTTTTACTTCTTAAATACACTCTTAAAATAAAGGTGCCCTAAAGAGTTCTTTGAGTGATTTCAGTTCCCTAAGGAACCATGATTGAGAAGCCTTTCAGAAGTTTAAAGGATCTTCATTTAATGTAACAGTTCTATTAAGGATGCACCAATTCAGGAATTGCCGATCTGATATTTTTGTGTATATATCTGCTGATGCCGATTCTGATGCTAATACATAATATATATAAAATGTAAAACTTGAGACTAGATCCACCTAGATTAGCATTACGTTATTTTGGTAAGGTTACAAATGAAGTAAAATTATTGAAATACTGGTATTTTAGTTCAATAGCCCAGTGTCACGTAAACATTCTGCTCTGCTGTATAATACATGCATCATCAAATATTGGTTTAAAATATCCATCAGATCTAATCTTCTGTCCGATGCCGGTATTTTTTTAAGGAAATATCCTTACCCTGTTTTATATCATTTGGAGGTTCATCACACTCACACATCTCATTTACGAAAATGTTCTCTAAATAATCATCCATTGAAAGGTTCTTTAGAGAACTGAAGTGCCACTGCTGTTTTAGTTGTTCATTTTGTTTGTTGACACTTCTTAGCAAAACTATGAAAAACAAAATACAGTGTTGTTAGTGTATGATAAAAATGTACTGAAGCATGTCATATTTTTGCCATATCGCCCACTCTCAATCATCAGGTTTCAAAGCATCAAGATCTTGACAAGTGAGCATAGAAGATGTATTGACTGTTGATGTTGGTTAAAAAAACATTAAAAAAAGACAATTAGCAAACACCCTTTTTATATCTATTGACAATTTATCTATTTACTTTCCCGTCATCTAGTCTTCTAGAAATTCAAGTAAGCACTAGTCTAGTACCCAAAAAAAACAAACAGAGTGAGTGTTATTTAGTACACTGTAGCCATTAAGTTTTACTGTGTATGACCTATGGTTTAGTCTACTAACCTATACTACATTTTTTTACATAAGCATTGCTGTATCTGCTCATATCTGTGCTTTAATTTGGATTTGGCTTTAGTAAGCAGCTCCCCTCTCTCTCTCTTTCTCTCGTTCTCCCTCTCTCTCTCTCTCTCTTTCATATAGTCTTCCTCCAAAGTAGAGTCTTTAGAGAGTTTAACTTGTCATTGTTGTTAGCTGTTAGAATGCTTTAGAAAGTGACCCTAACTGAACTCATGGCTCAACTGAAGTTGCGGACCACCATGGGCTGTGATACAGATTCATTCAGAACCTGTACAACCCACTCCTCAGTTTAATTTGACACAAACGTTTATCATTCCATGTTCACATTTATTTTACTGTCACAGACAATCATGTACTAAACAACTAAAATAATGCAAAATAACAATAATAATAAAACTGTGTAATCTAATGATTTTATGTGGGCTGCTTGTTTATTTCTGGGGTATGGTCCAGAATACTTGTTTATGAAAAACAGTTTTAAACAGTAACCAAGGCAGTTGCTTTCATTGTCTCACTGTGAAACGTCACAGAAGCTGATTATTATTTTTTTCTACTCCAGCAGTAACAGTTGCAGAGGCTGCCAAGTTATTGCCTCACTCTCATTTTGGCCCCTCTAGTCTGTTGCATCACCCCCTGTCTTGGCATGAGGGTTAATCATAAGTGATGAAGTTTTCCAAATACAACAATATAGAAAATGCTGAGTTTATTTACACACCACACTGAAAGGCTAATGCAGTGTATAATTCAGATCCCAAGAATATTATAAAACAACATGCTCACTCAAAAATTGATTTTTACTTCTTTACTCCCTTAAACATTTTAAGTTCTCTTTTTTATATCTATGCAGAAAGTAAGATAGGTGCTTAAATTTTTGTATGAATTGTTAGAAGCACCTTGACTGTGTGAATTAACTATTGGTGCTTTCACATGCAACTAATGCTCTTCACACTGTTTTGCTGTTGTGTCATTCAGTTGATTTCCAGTCAAAACAGCCATTAAGTACAAGTTATTCATTTTTAGAAGATATTTCTGAGGTGATTAGATGTTAGATAGTCCACTTGCACATGGAAGGGAATATCAAAGGTAAATGAAAAAAAAGTGGAAAAAAAACAGGAGTTTCCAAAACTGGAGTTTAAAAAATATTTTAAAAGATACAGAGAAACTGTGACTCAACAACTGTACATGACCTGGTTGACCACCAAAACTGTCACCATCAGATAAACAGTGCTTTCATCTTTGAGAGACAAGATCAAGCATCACATCCTAAACTTCCCACAGGTGTTTCTGTCCACCCTTTCACTGTAAGACGACCCAACATTATGAATCAAAATAGAAGAAAATCTGCAAATCAAATAAAGAAGCTGCTGGTGCTCTTACAACAGTGGACTGACCACTCCAGAGTCCAAATCTCAACATCACTGAATGTGTTTGAGATCGCTTGGATCGTGAGAAACAGAAAATGCAGAAACTTCTAACAGCGAACCTTGGAGGTGTAGAAAATGTCCCTGCAGAATTCTTAGAAAAATTGAAAGCAACTCCCCTGAAAAGAATGGAAGCTGAAATAAAGGCAAAGGATGGACACAACTAAATACTTTACAATGTATATAATGGCCATTCTGACTGGAAGTTATATAAATAAAGAGAGGTGATTGACTTTTGCACAGAAATGTTATACATGAATACTTCATTGTAATATATTCTGACATCTTTTCATCCTTTTATGCAGTATCTTGGGGATGACAGTTGGATATGTTTGTATATTTGTCTTATGCATGCAATAGTGAGTCATGATTTTACAGTTTGACAGGAATTAAATCATTTCAGTAAACCCATTGTTGGTTTTAAGGTAATCAAGACAGTGTTTGAATGCTCAGTGGCTACTGTCAAGCAGCCAGTAATACTTTTGCATTCTGTTAGTATCAGTTATGACATTACCACAATAGCTTGTCTTTGTTAAATCTGATAAAAGATCAGATAAATAAATCAACCAAGATTTGTTTACAGCTGTGTTATCATACAGCAGAGCAAGAGGCAATGTTCTGCAGTTGTTTTCATGTTGTTTACTGTTAGGTTTGTATACTCACTCTGAGTTCTGGCCAAAGCCCTGCTGAGGCACCGGCTGTTGAGTACTGATGGCCAGTGACAGTGTGCGCTGCATCATTCCTGCGCCAAAACCTCTTAAATCATCTCTCTGTTTTTATCTTGCTCAGGTTGAGTTAGAGGGCATCTTAGTAAATGGCACTAATTCAGAGCAGATGGAAGAGACCTGTGTGGTGCCAGAAGACGAGGCGTGTGACGTATCTCAAGCACACTCCATTCCACCTGACTCTCCCACGCCTCTCCAGCATGATCCTGCACCAGCTGAGAGAGCCCTCCAGCCTGCTGTCAGCCCCCATGCACTTCTTACTCACCACAGCTCTTTAAGCTCCTACAATGGTGCTAAACACATGAAACCAAACACTGAGGATCACAAAGATCCCACTGACCTGCAGTCCGAGTTTCAAAGGTCTGTGAATATGCTAACAGAAAGCCAGCCACCTGAGGCGCTTCCTGAAAGGACAGTTCCCCTGAAAAAGATCAAGTTGGAAGAACTGAGCATGATGCCGGATGAACAAAGTGCATTGCACTTAGATAACAGTGGCTGCTACGAGGATGCTCTGTCTACACTAGCAGCTGTAGTATGTTCCACCATCACTGATAGGAAGGGTTTTGAGGAGACGTTGCTCAGTCCTCAGAACTCAGATGTCCGTTCTTTTAAAACTGAAAGAGAAGAAGAACCATGTCATAGCCTTTCACACCAGAAAAGGACTTCAAACAGTCCAACAGGTGCTGATAACCCTCATCAGAAAGACTTAGTTGCACTTTCGATGAATAGTGTCCAGTCTTTGGTTGAGCATAGGAGCATAAGCATGGATCAGGCCATAGCTATCGAGGCCTTAACCCAGCTGGCAGCTATCCCAGAAACAGCATCTTTCAAAACAGAGTATCAGGATCAGAACCCTCAGCAAGGAAGCACATCAACCACAAATATTTCATCAAGCAGGCAAATACCTCAAGAAACTAAATCTGTATCAGAGGTTGTCTCCAACAAAGTCTCGGTAATCAGCTCATCGTTGCATCAGACTTCTGTTATTTGCAGCCCGTTGAACAGGCAGGAAAACGTCACCCATCGCAGCACACCCACCCACCACAAGCTCTCCTTGCAGGATCTCCTGAAAGCTAGCTCAGAATGTGACAGGCTCTTGCATACCCCAGAGAATGGAAGACTCAGTCAAGCACTTTGTAAAACAGATAGGTTAGATGGCACTTTTAAGAAGTTTAAGCATGTTGAAAGGACACAGAGCTCAAGGAGGAGAGATGAAGAGGAGGTTGCAGCCCAGTTGGTGCAGCTTGCATTCATGATTGAATCAAGACACAAGCCAGTGTCCTCTGAAAACAGTCCCCCCAAGGGTATGCCAGTACAGACCATAAAATACAACCATCATGCTATTGGACAGCATTTTAAAAAGCAAAGAAAAACAAGAACAACTCCCTCAAGTCCTAGGATATCAAAAAAAAGAGCATCTGGGATTGAGGGAGGCAACCATAGGATACCACTAGCCAAGAGGACACCCAATAGCAAAACCCCATACAAGACGAAGGCGCAGAGGGAGGCCTTGCAGCGAAAAGCAAGGTTACACCCGAAGAGGAGCCCATTTTTGCCACAGACTCAAATAGACCTGAAAAAATACCTAGCACAGGCTCATCTTGAGAAAAGGCAGCTTTTCCATTTCAGCAACAAGAGAGAAGATACTCTCGTGAGCTGTGAAAACCAGAAAGCTCTGAGTCATTCCCATGGTAACCAATCCCAACCAAACGGACACTGTTACAGTCTCACGAATGGTCACATAGGTGCTACCCATGGCCAGAAGCATGAATGTGAAGAACATTTGATTTCTCAGGTATTGAAAACGTACAGTGTGCTAAACCATGGTGCTAAATCACAAGCCCAGTATGCCATGCCTAACGTCCCCGGTGCAGATCCATCTCAGAATCTAGGGGGTTGCCACAGAGTTAACAGCCTGAGCTGTGAGCCACGGCAAACTTCCCTTGATCAGAATGGATATTACAAAGTGGAGACGTCTGGCGCTGTCACAGTTTTGTCTACATCAGCTGGAAATGTGGAAAATGGTGATGGGGAATCCTTTAGAGAAAACACACCCACTAAGCATATGCTCAACAGCTTTTTGGAATCTCCATTGAAGTTCTTGGACACTTCAACCAAGAATGTAATCAACACCCCCTCAAAAAAAAACTCTGAGCTCCCGTCCTGCGACTGTAGGGGTAAGCTGTGGCATTACCTTCAGCACAACAGATAAAAAGACTATAAACAAGTATATATTTCACAGGTTTATGAGTTGTTTCAGTTTTATTTAACTCATCTTCACAGTCATATATGTTAATGGTTATGGATTATGTTCTTATATTCTTGTATATGAGCAACATTCTTGCAACAGTGAAACCAGAAATGAATTTCTTTTGTAGAGCATATCATTGAGAAAGAGGAGGGTCCCTTCTACACGCACCTTGGCTCTGGGCCAACTGTAGCAGCCGTGCGAGAGATGATGGAGGACAGGTAACATTCTTTTTTTCTTTTTTCCTTTCTTTGTCACATTACTTTTATAGGACAGAGACAGTTATTGGCTATAGGCCTATAATCTGTGTTTAATTTTCTTGATAAGATGACATGTCTGCTGCGCAACATTCATGTACGTACTTATAGAAACACCCATGCTGACATGCATAAAGACCAAAGCACGTTCTCATGCAATCTCAAAGTTACAACAGGAAGCCACTTTCTATGCTCAAGGGGCCCAGTAGAGTAACTCTTACCACAGTGAGGTCACCTTACAGCTGACCCTCTATAGGTGTGGTAGGCTTATGGCAAACTTGCATTTGGAGATTTTGTGTTGTGTATTTTTTGTTACTCTCTGAAACTACCTTTTTGTTTCAGGTTTGGGGAGAAAGGCAAAGCAGTGCGTGTGGAAGTTGTAGTCTATACTGGGAGGGAGGGACGGAGCTCCCAGGGTTGTCCAATAGCGAAGTGGGTTAGTGACCTGTGTAAATTTTTTTTTTTTATTTTAAAGGCATTAGGAAGAAATGTGTATCAATACCACATTTGTGTTAGTAGGTAGAAGAGATGTTTCATCATGATTTGAATTTTCTGAGAAATTATTGTTGTCCATAGTCTTGTTTTGCAGAAACATTGTTTACATTTTTGCCATATTTTTCTAATTTCTTGACATTTAAACAAATTGGAAAACTTAGACTTACAGACTTAAATCTATTGATACAGAATGTAAATTGAATTCATTATGGGCTGTATTCATAGCTGGCGACTTAAGCCGGGCCACGAAAGTTCAAAAGATATATCAATAGATAAGCTGGAAAAGTTCAGACTTGTGCTACAAAAAGTTGAATTTCTGGTTGACACATATTCAAAATATTGAAATTACTTGTGTGCAATTCACAAAATTATATATTTCACAAAACGTCAATATTATATAATATTTTATATTATATATAAATAATAATAATACATGCAATGGGTCTGAGCACACAAGTCTGCAGATGCATCTAAAGTCTGAATGCTGATGAGTGCAATTTCACTATTATCTCACCGCTGTGCACTCTGAATACTCTGAATACAACCCAATTCATTATGTAATTACATAACTACAATTAAATAGTAAAGCAAAATGAAAATAACTGAAAAAAAGATAATAACTTTAAGGGTTAATCAGTGCTCGTTGATGTATTTAAGTGTATTGTAATTGTGTTTGTCTGAATGGGTTACACTTGTCAGGTGATCCGTCGGGCCAGTGAGGAGGAGAAGCTGCTGTGTCTTGTGCGCCAGCGTGCAGGTCACTGCTGTCAGAACGCAGTTGTGGTCATCCTCATCCTAGCCTGGGAGGGGATCCCACGCAGCATGGCTGACAGACTGTACCAGGAGCTTACACAGACCCTGTACAAGTATGGCTCGCCCACGAGTCGCCGCTGTGCCCTTAATGAGGAGTGAGTCAGAAGCCACAGAGAGTGACCATTATTCAAACACACACATGCACAGATGAAAAATGTAATTTCTGGGGTGTTGATTGAAGATGGTTGAAGACTGCCAGGATATTTTTTGGTGTTACTCTGCAACTAACATGCTTTTTTTGCCCTGTTGTTATGTCTCCTCAGTCGTACCTGTGCTTGTCAGGGTCTGGATCCAGAGACCTGTGGCGCTTCTTTCTCTTTCGGCTGCTCGTGGAGTATGTACTTCAATGGCTGCAAGTTTGCCCGCAGCAAAGTGCCCCGAAGGTTCCGGCTACAGGGAGACTACCCTGAGGAGGTGAGCACAGAGAGAGAGATAAGTAAGGAGGTTGATGCTAAGTTTGAAATACAACTTTTTTCCTGCTAATACTGCTAAGTGTACCCTGTAATATGGTCTGCTTTGATTATACATTTGAGTACAGTGTGTGATCAGATTAATAATGAAAGCTCAGATCTTCATGTAGATCAGTATTGCTTCTTGCCTCCCAGTGGCCATAAATAGAATAGCCTCAGGCAGTAATATATTACTGACAGAGCCAGCCCAAAGTAGCGGTGCTTGTAGTGTTTATTATGCAGGAAATGAGAGCTTAACATATAGTTAGAAAACCAAATCATAAGGTCTTGCCATTTTTCTGCTTTTATCCAGGAGGGGAAGTTAGAAAGCAACCTGCAAAATCTGGCGACAGATGTGGCTCCTTTGTATAGGAAACTTGCCCCCGAGGCCTATCAAAACCAGGTAGGAAACACATAAAGAAAATAACGTTAAATTGTACTAGAAATGCATAGTTTACCTGCCCATATGAATATCTGTGACTTGTATATTGAAACTGGTGCTAAACACTAGCCGCACCACCTCACCCCCAGCCCTCAGGGCTGTCTGAAATACCCCTTCAACATTTCACAACTACAGTCACACAGCTACGTAAAACGGAAGTCTTGACGTGACTTCTGACCTTTCAGGTGGAGCAGGAGCAGTCAGGCCAGGACTGTCGCCTGGGCATGAGAGAGGGTCGTCCATTCTCTGGTGTGACAGCATGCGTGGACTTCTGTGCTCATGCTCACAGAGACACACACAACATGAACAATGGAAGTACTGTGGTAAGCATCACTTCTCACCTCACAAGTCAACCCATTCACACATTGGCAAATTACACGTGTTACACACGTGTTACATTTATATTACATTATAATCATACTAGAAATAATAAATCTTCTCACCCAAAAGAAATTTTCTAAATTAAACTAAATTAGGACACAGAATCGCTGATGCAAAGCACCACTCTTCCAAAGCTACTTGAGTTTGAAGGTCTCCCTTTGTGGAGAATCTTCATCCTGCTATATGTAAAACCCTAAATGTGAGTGATTTAAGTAATTACAAGCCAGGTCCCTCAGATGCTTCAGTTTCAAAAAGTATCATTTTTTTCAAACAGGATCTCCAGCCAGCTGGTCTGGCCTGTATCATATAAATACCGCTCTGTCCCTATTTGTTTTTTAGGTATGCACGTTAACGAAGGAGGATAACCGCGCAGTAAGAAACATTCCAGAGGACGAGCAACTGCATGTCCTTCCTCTCTATAAGATTTCAGAGACTGATGAGTTTGGTCGTGTGGAGGGCCAGTTGGCTAAGATAGAGACTGGAGCTCTGCAAGTCCTCTCTTCCTTCCCAAGAGAGGTGCGTCTGCTGGCTGAGCCTGTGAAGTCTGCCAGTAAGAGAAGACAGGAGGCCAAGAAAGAGCGAGAGAAACACAGCAGCCAGGAGAAAAAGCAGGTCACCCCAGTGAAAGTGAAGAACGAGCCCCTCAAAGGTATCATCATAGTTGCCTGCCCTCTAAGGAACTACACTGTCTTTATGATTTATTTAGCTGGTTCTTTGATCTATGTTGTTCTCACTAAGACTTTGTAGAATAGAACATCCTTGTCCAAGATTTGAGAGTTTCATTTGTACTTTGTAACTCAACAAAATAAATCATTGCATGAACTTTATTTATGTTCATGAATTAAATAGAATCAGCAAATGTAGACTTTGTTACCTCAACATTTGCTGTTTGCAAATCAAACAACTGCCTTGATTAATTTTTTTTATACAGAGAACAAGTCTTTTTACTAATTTTTTTGTTTTTCCTGGTACCTTTTAAATTTCTTACTTACAGACATTTGTTTTCCTTCATAGGTTTTAAAAGCACTTCCTCTGAGCTTTCACCATGTTTCAAAACAGAGACATGTTCCTCAACTCCTTACTCTTCCCCTATGCGACTGCCCAGGACTCCAGACATGGGGAGCCACTTACTGGACTTACTGGACTCCTCAAGCCCTTACAGGAGCACAAACTATACTCCTCCACTGAGCTCTAGCCGAGACACAGCAGCACTTTCTTCATCCCCTTGCACCATCCTTCCTGCACCACATTATCAGAATGCTGGAAAATTGTCCCAAAGCAATGGATCTCCTCTCCTCAGATACGGAACAGGGCAAGAAGCAGTGAGGCACAGCTCTCCAGAGCTCTCAGAACAGAAACCATTCAGAAACCAGCAGCATGTGGATAGCCCCTTGGGACCGAAGTCCTCGGGTTTCCGTGACAACTGTTTCGCAGTAAAAGCTGAGCCTGAGGAGGTGCGTTGTTTTCAGGGTGGAGCTGCTCCCAGACTGCTCTCTCCATCCAGGGCTGAGGGTCTCCACAGCCGTCTGAACTTCCACCAAGCGCAGCCGAGCCTGGATGACCACCATGGGCCGCCGATGACCCCGCGACCCATGACACCTGAAGAGGTCAAAGCCGAGGAAGTGTGGTCAGACAGCGAGCACAACTTCTTGGACGGAGATATTGGTGGGGTTGCGGTGGCCCCGTCTCATGGTTCCATTCTCATCGAGTGCGCTCGGCGAGAGCTGCACGCTACAACCCCCGTCCTGCGGCCGAACCGCAGCCACCCCACCCGCGTCTCTCTGGTCTTCTACCAGCACAAGAGCCTTAACACACCCGGCCATGGGCTGCAACAGTGGGAGGCCAAGATGGCGGAAAAGGCTAGGGAGAGAGAGGCGGAGGCCGAGCGGCTGGGACTGGAGCCCGGAGCCCTCAACTCTGCCAAGGCCAGAAGGTCAAAGGTAGCGGAGAGCGATACAGAAAGCGGAGAGGAAGACGTGTGTCAGGACGAGAGGGCGAAGCTACAGGTCCCGACCCGCCAATCTCTGACAGCCACCCGGGATGGCCTCATCACATCAGCCCCGTACGCCCTCACCCAGGTCACCGGGCCTTATAACCGCTGGACATGACAGTGGCCAGTGCAACTTTTTTTTAGCTAATGCCTTACCTCAGTCAGCTCTATCTCTTTGACACCTGTTTGAACGTGCTCTTTTTTCATTTGTGCTCTTCATCTCAGCTTTTTAGAACGATGCTGACTACCCATTTGTCAGTTTTGAAACTGTGAGTTTTGGTGCATATACATGTCTGGTTTTTAATGTAAAGAGATGGTGCTCAGAACAGATGTTTAAAAACTGGTTTTATAGAAAAAAGAGATGAAATTAGTGCATAGAAGATGTGACTATTTATTCTGAACGTTTTCACAACTATTTGTATTTAATTTCTGGTCCAAGCCTGTTTACTGCAATATGACTGTGTCAACCTGTAAATGATGTGTGTAGTAAACACTCAGAATTGACATTGTAAAATGTGAATTCGATTGTTGGTTTTGTTGGTTTTTTTTTTGTTTTTTCATCTTTGGGTGCTCACTTGTCAGACATTCAGTAATCGCTATTTTATGGTGCCATTGTAGCAGTAACTTACTTTGAATAACCACAAACATACATTACTCCTTTAAAGTTTTAAAGTATTGTGACACAAAAGGTTATTAGTTAGATTTGAATATACATGTAGCATTGGTTTTATCACACCATGATATTGGTATTGAAGGTACATAGATACATAGACTCTGGATTATGAAAAAATATTCCTGTTATACATGGCATTGTTTGAAAAAAGCACTTTTGAACAACTTGACTTTCGAAATGTCCTGTATGCACAGATTTTTTTTTTTCATTTGTTTGTTTATGAGCGACCTCCTTCATCCAATTTATGTATATATGCTTTGCATGTTCGTTTGGAACTCAACCATGATTTTTAAACCATGCTTATCAAAGCAATAATCATGGAACGTTATATGCTGCATTTTTGATAATGTGTCAAATTTAAACCATTTTATTACTGGAACATAAAAGATATTATTATTATTGGTTTCCCAATTTTTTAGGTTTTTCAACTCCCAAAGAGTTTAAAACATGACTTGAAACAGCCTTTTATACATGATCAGATATGTTATATTTTGTCATTCAAGTGTGCTAAGATATGTCTGAACAATATTACTGTATGTTTTTCACTGGTGCTTTCTTGAAGACCTACTATACATCCTCCTGAGATCAGATCATGTTATTTTTATTGGTGCATAGTGCTTTTTTATTTCAAATAAATCACCCCACATCTTATCATTTGTTTACTTGCTAAATGTTTGCATAATATTATCTTTTTTCAAGCCAATATAATGGTTTTTTTTTGCATTAAATGGAAAGTCCCATTTCACAGCTATATTGTAAAAATGTCTCTGTGTAAAGTTTATTTAGCTCCAGCCAAGAAGAAATGCCCACTAAAGTCCTTTTATTATAGACATTTTTATAGGTCTTTTTACATTTTGAGGTGCTAAAAATGTACTGTGTAAATATGCCACGTCACGGTGTGCTCAAAGCTCTTCTGATTCTAATTCTTAAAGCCCCTGTGTCTTCATGCCAGCTGTGTGAAGTCTTCAATGGCTTCTCTGAGAGCCACACTGTATTTTGTTCTTATTGCAGAGGCAGAAAAAGGTCCTACAAAAATCCAATGTGAATCTACATTATGGGGAACTTGAAGTCAGAGAGTGGCATGGATATGTTCACTCTAGTGGGTATTTTTATTTAAAGCTGCTTTTGCTGAACAAGGAAACTGTTGCTTTTGTGGAAAACCCACACTGACAAAGCTGTGTGTGCAGAGTTATTTTGTAAGACGTTGAAAAGCTAATTTTCCTAAATAAACGAAGAGCACCTATAGTAACACTGGCCTGTTATGTCGCTCTTTGTGGGGAGAAGAACTTGATTCTTGATGGTGCTGATAAAGAATATTAGAATCCTTTTACTGGCTGTTTACATGTAGCTTTTTGCTTTGATGATTCATTTATCGTGGTGAATCAACATGTATGATACTCAAGAACGTCTGATGACAGTTTAATGATTATTTGATGATGATAATGACTTTCAGAATTCATCATCACATTAAAATATTACAAAATGTATAGTGAATTACACTTCAAAATAAGGTTTTATCTGACTTAATTTTGAAGGATTAATTTGAATTGTTATTATTAAAGACTAAATAAAGAACATTTTAAAATGTTTCTACAGCTTAGCATGATCCGACATCCCCCCTAAGAAAGAAAAGAAAAGAATCAGGCTCAGTCTGTGGTTCAGTGCTTTTATAAATGTGCAATTGTAAAAGTTTGATACAAAAGCTCCTAGTAAGATACAGTCATATGCAAAAGTCAAACTACGGATTTTGTTGATTTTCTAAGTGAAAATAATACATCCTCTACATGAAACAAACATAAACGTGGTGTTTTCCGGCATGTTTTTGTGTACAATTTCCATTCGTTTGCTGAATTTAACATGTTGAATATATATATATATATATATATTTCAGATTTTGTTTTATTTTTTTCCCAGTTTTCTATAGAGGATGTGTTAACCTTACTTTGTAATGTCAGTTGACTAGGAGTGACCAAACCTTTTCACATGACTGTATTTTTTGTCAAGCACTGCAAATTTCACTCATCTTTAAGCTAATTTCTTAGTTACCTGCCCATTACATCAGTTTTTCTGCTGTAATGTTTCTCTTTTTTTAACTTGTGCCCAAACATTTTTAGAATTTTCACCTTGTCTTCCTGATCAGATTCAAATTCTGATATGACAGTTTCTGCACAGTAACAGTTTTGAGACTAGCATTTCTTTTGAAAGTAAACCATTAAAGGCAGTAAACATTTCCAGGTGTGTGATATATGTCATTTACACCGCCTAGTGTCTTGCTATATCATTGGGGGTATATTTTTTTCAAGGACAGTAAAACAGCACCAGCTTTTGAGTCTTCAGAAAAATAAAATGTAAATGTGGCAGTTTGAAACCTCTGTTATTCTGTTTTTGTCCGTAAATGCATCATGTAATGTAAAGAAGCTGAATCAGTCTTTTCCAAAAATGTACACAATGTAATCATCCTGAGAAACACTGTACAAATATATCTATTTTGACTGCTATCAGAGTAATAAATGAGAACTAGTATATCGCTGTTGTCAGAAGAAAACCTTGTATCTCCAAAATGGTATCTTTACAGGAGCAGTAAAAAACCTACTTTAATTTTAATGTAAGTCAAAGGAACCAGAATTTTTTCCAAGTCATTTTGGACTATTTCTTTTGCTCCATTGTTCATGAAATTTACACACAATGTAAAGAACAAAAGGCATTTACAAATTATAAAAAAAATTGTAAAAAACTGAAAAACGACAAAAACGGAGATATGAGGTTTTCTTCCGACAACAGCGATATATGTAGGTGGCCCTGTAACACAGCAGTACAGAGGCTATGGTGTGATGTGCTTCACAGTCCTATCAGCCGTGTAAAGTAGCTACTGAAATTGAGCAGGAACAATCAGTGAAAGAAGTGCTTAAATTAGGGTAAAACTAGCATCACTTGCAAAGCTAATATAACTACTAGCATCAACAGCTAATAAACATTAAAGTTAAAATTAGCTGCTACTTCATAATTAGACTACTTGTAAATGAGTAGCCTGCTAATTTTAAATTCCCTGTTTTACATTCCCTCAAACTCAGCACTGGTTAAGTTCATTTGCAGGCAGCTTTTCAGCTACACATTTTTCAGTTTGAAGTACAATAATCAGCTGTGATCCTTTCCAGTGATATGTTATAGTAGCATGTGTTGAGAGCCTTAATTTTTACTTAGAGCGATATTGATAGATAACAAAACGTGGTTAACTTTAGTGTAAGTCATTTGTTGAGACTTCTGATTGTTCTGAGTTCTGTTTGCCCCTCTGGTGATACTTTGTCATCACATTTTACAGAATCTATAATTTATGTCAAATCATTTAAAGTCTTTGTGTTTTTTCAAAAAAATGTGCTATTATTGTAGGTACAACTCTAAAAATATATTTTTTAATGAAATTGAAGCTTCTATCAATTTATGTCAATAACTCCACTTCATTTTAATAAACAAAAGACAGAATGACAGTAAGACAAATGATAGGTAAAATTAAAATGAAAAGACATAATGACAAAATAGAAGTGAAAGTAAACTGAAAACATTTGTAAACTTTGTTCATTAGTCAGTGTAATCATATTATTTACATATTATGCAAATACATTTATTATTATTATTAGTAGGTCACTATTAGCCATATCTTTTCACTCTACAGTACACACACTCAACACATACACACAACTTAAACTAATAAATACGGAGCCCCGCTGGTGACATCCTGTATGAAATAAAAATAATGTGAGGCCACGACTTAGTAAGGTGTGGGAACAAGATCCTAATGCGTGGCCACAACTTAGTAAGGCATGGGACCAAGATCCTAATGTGTGGCCATGACTTAGTAAGGCACTAAGTCATGGCTATGACTTAATTATCTCATTCCCATGCCTTACTAATTCGCGGCCACGCATTATTTTTATTTCTATGGGATTTCACCAGCAGGGCTCCGTAAATGAACAACGACATTAACAATAACAAAAAAAGCAACAAATGTCCCTCTCAGTGTGGAGGGGCGGAGCACGCAGTGCCGCATTGCATGCATAGCCACTGCCTCAGAGGTCAGCTGTCCCAGCGACTGACACAGTCCGAACAGAGTCCCAGCGGGCCCCCCATTCCTCTCTGTGGGCCCTGTCCTTGCCAGGGTGGCTCCTTGAAGCACCTTACTCCAAGCGCGCCGTCCTCCTTTGACCCTAGAGGGCAGCCAAACTGCAGCTACATGGGCGCCAGATAGCCATGGTCAACGCCGCTAGATTGCCGTACTGCTCTGCCAGCAGGTCTGCAGGCACCTGGAGCGATTTTCCTTCCAGGGCTGGGCACAGCTGAATTGAAGTGCAGCTCCCTGACACTCTTGCACTGGAAGCAGATGTGCACCGGCTCTTTCATGCCAGGCTAAAGCTGGGTTCAGCAGCCGTTCCTTGCTGTATTGTTTCTTTCACCGTCCTCCTCCAAACCTTGTTGCACTGGTTCTTTCACCATCTCCCACTACATTCTGTCTTCCTTACCATCTGTCCTGAAGTTCTTTAATACACTGCAGGCCGCATTATCCCACTTCTGATGCCATTGTGGCGTCAGCATAGAAGACTCAGAAGACGCTCCTATTTCTAGTCAAGAAAATGGTCTTTTACTCAACACAGCAGAAAAGACATGGGAATAGAAATGGAATGGTGAGGAAGGTCACTACTATTCATATCTCTTCACTCTACAGTAGATACACAACCCTCTCTAACTAAACCCACAGCCTGACACAATAAAGCACACTCGACAGATATACACAGCTTAAACTAATGAACAACAACACAACAACATTAATAATAACAAAACCAGCAACAAATATCCTTCTCAGTGGGGTGGGCGGAGCGTTCGGGACAGTATTTTGCCCTAGTCTGGAGGCCCTTTTTACCCCAAAGGTCTACATCCCTTACAAAGAATGCTCCCCTCCCCATGAGGACATTTCTTTTAGCAGTGATTCTTGTTAACTTTTATATAAATGCATGTATCGCAGTTGCGCATTGTTAGTAACGTCGGTGCCAATAAATTTCAGGAATGCAGCAATCCAGGTGAAATTTCAGAATTAATTAGGGCATCGTGTTTCAGTGAATGTTCTGGGATTAGATTTGACCCCATTTGGTCAAGAAAAAATTAGGGGGCGCATCTTACACTGGGGCCTTCTTCCTCCAAGTTACCCTTTACATACACTTAAAGCAGTACAAGGGAAAGTAATAATAATAGCACAGCTGGGTTTCGATGGTAGTGAAACGTATGAATAGTCTAAAAATGACCAGGCAGAGGTCTGTAAATAGATGAGAGCATTGACGTGGCCGGCGGCGTCGTGGGTGCTGAAGATCGGTACTTATGAGTCACTCGTGTCTACGTTGTCCTTAAGCTCGTGTCCGTTGCGGGCTGCCGTACAATCCGAGCGGTTTCGCGTGACGCAGAGGCGCTGAACGGACAGCTCAATCTCATACAGGCAAGATGGCGACATCGGAGCCGGTAAGAGGGGCCGGGGAGCACGGAGTGAGGGCTTTCTCACGGTCCGAAATGGTAAAACAGGAGACGTTTCGGCTCGCTCATGGGCCGCTGTTTCTCCCTCTGTATGAATTTGGGAGAGCCCGTGGTGCGGTGGTGTGTGTTTCTGTGGAGGAGGGCTGGGGCTGGGAGCTGGGAGCTGGGAGCTGCTAGGCTAACGCTACTAACGCAGGCGGTATTTAAGGGACTTGGCGGCGGCGTCGCCGACTCTGTCGTCGCGGGGGCACACGACAGCGCTTATTGCTCCATTTTTGGTCACATTTATCTGCCAGTGTGGATCATCTCATTAGTTCGGTGACGTTAGTTCGTTTAAGTGAAGCGACGGCTTTATTTTTGCCGTTTTGTCAGTGTGAAGCCAGTCATATCCAGACATGCGGACACGTGTGTTGGCTGCTAGCTCGGTTTACAGGCTAACACGGGCACGAAGCTGAAGTCAGCTTCTTATTCGCCAGCTTGTTGTTCGAATTTCCCCGTTCCACCTTAAATGCCGCAGAATTTACTCTCTGGCGCGAGGCGCCAGAATGTAACTGCTGCACCATTTGAGATGGAACGGAAGAATTCGAACAACAAGCTGGCGAATAAGAAGCTGACCTCAGTCTCGTAACACGGGCTACGCAGCACTGGAGCCTCGGACCGAGATTAGCCCTGCCTGCCTGGCTGACTCAGTTTAACTCGACCAGGGTGGTCGCTAGCTAAGTGAAAATAATGAAA